AATAAAATGAACCAATGGCCAGTAGTAATTTTGAGCGCTGAGGTCAATCCCAAGCTCTCAGACTCTTTATTGCCATCTTACTGTCAATTTTCTCTTCAACCTTTAGATTTTCTTTCATTTCTCATTTGGCTGGTTATAATATTCACTCTCTTCCCTCTGTTCTTTCTCCCCATGATCTGTCAYGCCAAAGCTATGTCACAGCTCATATATCCCCCAGCAATCATCCTGAACATGGCTAGTGACCACCATTAACCAGCTTCTTTCAGACCCCCCCTCTATTTGTCCCAGACCAGACCACCGCAGAGTTCTGTGGTCAAACCAGCTGTGGTAGCTGCATCAAAGTTGAATCCATCATGAGAAAAACTGCTATGATACTTAGAGTACCTTGATTCTTTGTCTCTGAATGAAGCTCTAACAAAAGGATTATTTGAAACTTTTACCTTTCCAATCTGCAGAACGTGAGTTAAGGTTGTAGAAAAGAGTATAACCACTGCCTTACATTTATTTAAAACTGCTAACATACAGTGATAAGTGGAGGATAGGTGGCTTCGTTTCAAAATGTTAAATCAATACATATAATACTATCAAACCAATCTGTCCAAGCATCAAATTTTAACACTTACTCATCATGTTTWATTGACAGTGTATTGTTCACTCACAAATGCGTGTAGACTAATGTGAGGGAGGTCACTGTGGTCAGTGTGTGGTAGAAACTCAGGGTGAAATCGACTCAAAGCACAAGAATTATTGGCCTCACTCAACTACCATTATTTCTGCTGCTCTTCAAAACAAAAGCTCCTGAAACTTTGAGCATGGACAGTCACAGGTTGAGAAAGGAGATAAATTTAGAAAAATAAATTAAGGTTAAAACAGGTAAAATCAGAGGGGTCATAAAAATGACAAAGTTAAAAGAAAATGCTCCTAAAAGTAAAACACAAATAAAAATGAAAGTAAGGAAGGAAATAGTGAAAAACGGTAGAGGAAATTTAAAACACTTGGATGTTTTTTTTTTCAGGGTTGCATGCTGCATAATATAATATGAAAATGCTGTAAATATGAAATTAAACTAGACTTTGCATCATATTCAGCATTTCTCCTACCACTATAGGGGGGAACCCACAACAATGCTTTGGGGGAGGGGTGCTCTGTGGGGTGGGAGCTTGGGTGCAGACTGAGCTCCAGGGAGGAGCTTTGTGTAAATAGGCAGAGCTTTGTACCAACAAGTGTACTGGTGGAGATTCATGGATTTCTCAAACATGCATGAATGAGTCAAAGCAACGCTCTGGGTATGTTTCTGATGAGGGAATGATATAACATTTTGTAAAGATCAAAAAGGTCTATTCTGCTTAATACCCCCACTTTAAAATGTACATTTGAACACCATGAAAAACTAGACCCATACACCTGATGATCCATCACTTAGCACTGCTACAAAAACCTGGTTTATAATGTCTCAACAAAACTGATACCAAACTGTGGGATAAATGAAGCCTTATCTCTTGATTTTTTGGTTAGAACCAGAGGAGCAAAGGACAGAGTAGAATATGCAGCTAAATTTATCAATAAAACAAAAGTAAAGAAGTGGTGTTAAGCAAAAAATGATTGAAGAATGTGTAAAATGCTGCTGACTCCAGTTGCCCTGTGGCTTTTTAGTTTTTTCATAAAGTTTTTAATATCCTAAAGTACTTTGTTTCAGCGGCTCTGTCTTTGAAGTATCTTTTAGATATTTTAAATATATTTTACAGTCTGTCAGCACTGAGAGATTAAAACCGAAGCTGTTGAGTTTCCTGTGTTGCTGAATTTTGCAATCTCTTCAGACAGGGGATGAAATCATACACTCAAATACCCTCCTCTCATGAAGGACACTGACCATCTGTGTTATCAGCTAGCCTTCAATATGAAACACCTTCCCCCACTGAAAATCCCCTGTAGCATTAAAAGGATAAAACAGAGGGTATATTCCTAAAAGGATACAAAACCATCTGCTTAAAGTGAACAACTTTTGTTTGTCATCTTTAATATTCAGCTGTAGAAGTTGTGTTTCGAGTTAAGTCATGAGAAAAGAACAGAATTCAAACATGGATTTATAACTGAATTTACCTTATAGTTTTTGAAGCACCATCTTTTTTAACTTAATAACAGAAGAAAAGTGATAAAAACTAAGTTGTCCGGTTACTGTTTGTATTAGTTAACTGAATATCTTAGATTAAGTATAGCAGAAAGGAAATAGAAATCAGGTTAAGATGAATACACACCAGGAACCTGCTGGCTCACAACTAAGACCTTTCAGAATATTTTGCATCAAGATGAAGATGCTCCACAGCAGGCCTTTAGTGTCTATTAAACTGCTTTATTTAACTGAACTATGGTCTTCCCCTTTTTTCATTGCAACTTCTTTTATTTCAACAATATTTTTTTAAACCACACCAAAACCCAAGTTGTGAAACACCTAAGTCTTTAAAGTTTGTAGGTGTCTACCCAATTCATTGCATTTAGTTAATAC